ATTTTTCGGTCATCGCGGAGAACCTAGCGTGCTGGACCTTACTCTCGCTTCTCCAGATCTAGACGTGTACTGGTCGTTGGATGCGGACACACGTGGAAGCGATCACCTTCCAATTTTGATGAATATACCTGAAGTGACCCGCCTCCCACGTCGCCAATACAGTGTAACCAACTGGGACGTGTTTCGCGCAAACTTTCGCTTTCTTGAGCCGTCAGAGGATATATTAAAAGCTATTCCTGCAAGTCTCGTTCAATCCACATATAAAATATCTTTAAGGATATCTCAGCCGTCCCCGGATTTGAAGTTTGTACGCTTACGTGCTGTTCGCCGCCGCACTCAGCGTCGTGCGCGCCGATCTGGCAAGGTCTCCCATTGGATAGACTGTCGTCGTATTACGTCAGCTTTACTCCGCCATACTCGCGTACTTCGCCGTCGACAATTTCGTCAATTTGCTTCGTCACTAACTCCATGTACACCTAAGCCAAAGATCTACAAAGTACTGAGAGGTATGGGCTGCTCTCCAACACCTCGAGATGTGTTCATCGCCCTCAGTCTTAAAACTGGCATTGAATTATCACGACTTGCAGATGATTTTGCGGTGCGCTTCATTGTACCCCAACGCCCTTCTGGATCTTCATATCCTCGATCACTGACTGGTCCTGCACGGAGTCCGGAGAGTATGGATCATCCTTTCACTATGTCGGAACTAGATGCGGCTCTTAGGAAATGCAAACGCCACAGTGCTCCTGGGTCTGATGGCATTACCTACCAAGCATTGCGTAACCTGAGTGACAAGTCACGCGTCGTCTTGCTCGAGCGCTTAAATTTGGCGTGGACTACTGGTATTCTTCCGCAAGAATGGAAGCATGCTGTAGTGACCCCCATTTTAAAACGAGGCAAGCCTTCGTCGGAATTGTCATCGTACCGCCCAATATCCTTGACCTCGTGTGCTGGGAAACTTCTAGAACGCTTGGTGCTTACGCGTCTCCAGTGGTACCTTGACGACATTGAAGCACTGCCACCTGAAATAGCGGGATTCAGAAGTGGACGCTGCACTGCTGACTGTATTGCGAGCCTTACATCAGCGCTGGAAGACGCTCGTTCACGAGGAGACACTGCTTTGGCAGTGTTCCTTGATGTTGAACGAGCTTTTGACTCGGTTCCACATGATGTAGTTCTTGCTTGCTTGAATCACCTTGGCATAACAGGAGGAATGCTAAAATATTTCCAAGAGTTTCTGAGCAACAGGACAATTAGTGTTTGCTTGGGCAAGACTACGGGAGCCGTGCATCCACTGTTGCGTGGGTTACCTCAAGGTAGTTGCCTTAGTCCAGTGCTATTCAACATCGTAATGACGACAATACCTTTATGCATGCATAAATCACCACACCCTAGTGGTATGATCATCTATGCAGATGATATCTGTTTGTGGGCTTCCCATTCTGATCGACGCATTCTACGTCCCTTTATGCAAATATCCCTCGCGCGTGTTGCAAACATGCTAGAAGACCTCGGACTTTCCGTCTCAGCGCAAAAAACAGCTGTGCTCGCTTGTTCCCGCCGCCCCTTTCGTCATGGATTTCCGCGGCTTACTTTATGTGGGACTCGAGTACCGCGCGTGCGTAGCTATCGATACTTGGGGGTCGATCTTGATTCCCGATTATGTTGGCGTCGGCACGTAACGAATCTTGTACGTCAGACGGCGATGACGACATCTCTCATTCGTCGACTTCGTGGACTTGAGTGGGGATCGTCCCCTAAAGCCCTACTATGCGTGCACCGGGCGCTTAACCTTTCCCGCATTCTTTATGCAGCGTCATATTTGCCGCCTACGCGATCTCTATGGGATCAGCTAGAACGATGCCACCGAGCCGGAATAAGAATGGCTCTTGGTTTTCCCTCGTACTCCCGAATCGATGCAACGTGGATTGAAGGCCGAGAGATGCCGGTAGCTTTACACGCTGTGAACCGTGCTCTTAATCATCTCGTTCGGCTTGCTGAGTCGACCAGTGGTGTCTCGCTGTTTACTGACATGCAACAGCGTCACCTTTCACAATATGGCGGTCACTGCACCTCTCTAGTTGAGGCTCTCGGCTTCATACCCTCCGTCCATTCTCCTCCAGTTGACTCCCCGTGGAGCAAGCACCCGTTCACCATCTACGAGGACATCCCGGGTTTCCACGGAAAATCACGACACCCCTGTGTGGTTAGTCGAGCCCTGACAGAGGAGGTGATGACGTCTCGGCATTCCTCGTTTACGGCCATTTATACTGATGGCTCTGTCGACTTCATTCATGATATCGCGTCTGCAGCTTACCACATCCCATCGGAACCCTGCTCATGGTCAGGACGGTTTGACCATGCCGTGTCGTCGACTACAGCTGAGCTGAGTGGAATCCACGCAGCTCTTCTTCACATCACGACGAAACCACCTAATAACTGGCTTCTGGCAACAGACTCTCGGTGTGCGGTGCATAATATCCTCAGCAGCAAAGGCGCCAATCCTGATTTGGTTTGTGAAATAATTAGGCTGGGCCATCTACTTGTCTCCCATGGTTCTAACCTGCGAGTACAGTGGATACCTTCGCACATTGGCTTACCCGGAAATGAGATGGCTGACCATCTGGCCTCAACCGCTCTAAAACTGCCCACTGCGACGTTGAATCTCCCCAGCCACTCTGACCCAAGATTGGCTATTAAGACTTGGATACAACACAAGCATCCCGTTTCCAGTGTGGCGTCTGATGAACCTCCTCCTCCAGCTTGTACGCGTGGCCTAACACGGAAGTTCGCTTCTCTTCTCCACCGCTTAAGAGCAGACTGCGCGTACACGCAAGTGAACCTGCACCGCATCAAAAAAACAACCAGCCCCTTCTGCGACCACTGCGATCAACCAGAAACGCTGACGCATATATTTTTTGAATGTGGACACTACAATACAGAAAGAACCGCCCTTCTAGCTTCACTGAAGAGCCTCGGTGTTTCACCCACCCTCGTGGATATGCTATTCCCCAAGGGTCCATCATCCACGTGCATACGTCTCCGAAAGACTGTGTTCAGCTTCTTGGATGCCTGTGGGCTTCTGGCAAGGCTGTGATGAGTGAGAAAATACGACCGCCGACTTCTCTTTTCGTGCTTGTGTGCCAGTGATAGCTTTTCTCGTGAAGTTTTCTGCAGGAATTTTGTGAACATTCTGTGATGCTCGCGTTCTAGATGTGCCCATTTTCTCATTTTGACTGATTTTTTGCCGACTTTTTATTTTACTTTAATTTGTTAACTTGTGTTTCATCATCCTATATTTCTCATCACCATCTGTTCCCCCCCCCCCCTTTCCCCTGCATTCATTCTCATCAATACTGCAATAACCCAAGCCCGTGAAACTTTTCCACAGCCAGTGAGAAAAACCTCACGTCAGGCAAACACCACCACCACCACCACCACCACCAGACCCCCTTCGAAATACTGCCCTCTGTTGGCAGCTACGGAATCCCTACACAATGGCGTACTAAAACTTCAACGTCACGGCACACTAGAAAAAACTAGAGTTGTGAGAATAGTGGTTCGAATAGAATAGCGCTGCGTCATTCATAGCCTTGACAGTGTAGGGAAAAACCGGTTCTTTCAACACTCAAGAAGCTAGGGATGATGCTGCGCTAGACAATTCGAACAACTATTCGCACAACCCTAGAAAAAACACACCCAGAGAAGAGGTAATGAGAGTAGTGACGTTGCACTTTCGACGCTGTTTGTTTGGCTTGTCGGCTCGTAGTGTTGGCCACGTTCCGACGTTCGCTATTTTATAGAATGGCTTGCACGTTCCTCGATGCTGCTGTTCCGCCTTTGTGCAGATGTTCCGACCTTCTAATAATCGACACGTGACTTTCGAAATTGACATCAACACATTACAAATTAAACTGCCTTGTTTATACAGTATATTAGTAAGGTTTTCTGGCTTTATTAAATTCACACCAATACCCCTGAAAAGGATCGGCTGACTCTACTATTTACATGTCGCCATGCCCATTCTCGCATTCCATCTTGTCTGCACTAAAGTCATTATTTACGTCTCAAGGACTGTTTTGAAGTAACAACTGCAGAGTTACATGCTTTCATCGCCCCAAACCAGTTAGCTTAGTGCAAAAAGGCGCTTCATCTTGAGGCCCTCACTAAACAGTTGAGCATTTTGAACGAGTGAGGTGTTCTCTTTTGCCCTGTGGTCATCATGCACAGCCGAAGCGTACCGTAATATCCCTAGAGATGCCCCACCCCCGAAATATAACCCACTCTTATTTTTGGCATGATTTTCTATTTTCACAAAAACACCGAAATATAGCCTACTTTTAGTAAGTATAGGGCCCTGGCCAATGGTTACCTCGGCTGAAATCATGTTACTTAGCCAAGGAGGTACATAAAAGAAAAATTGCTGACTGCGAAGGACAGTCATCTTAAGTTCATCAGCCCTCCTTGATATCTCAAGTTTTGCCCGTCACAAAAAAAATAAAGAGCTAATATTTATTCAACTTCATTTATTACGCACCGAAAGTTAGCCCACTCCTTATTTTCACCCGATTTGCTTTCTATTTTAGGTGGGTTATTTCTCGGGATAGTAAGGTACGTAATTCCAGAACGTCATCAATTGCAATTTGTACAGAAGGAAGTACAACGGAAGTTTGGTGCTTTGTTTTTGCCGTCCCATTTTCCATTTGCGCCAGGGTTTTTCAATCTTAAACCAGCTCGCCCGCACTCTCACTTTAGTTTAACACCTTCAGTAGTTTGTATCCTTCTAAATAGTGACTATAGTTAATGACAGCCTAAGGAACGCTAGCGAGTCCGAAGCTTCTTATTATAGTCCCACAGCTAATTACAAGAACGCTGAAGAAAAAAATCACGACGTAAAAAGCATAAATATATTAAACCTCACCCTGCGTCTCTTCGGCTGTCAGCGACTATAGAGTGATGTTCATTGTCACGAACGTCCTCATGCAAAAATTAAACTGCAGGTACAAACCCGATGTGATCTGGTCCGACGGCGACTGGGAGGCCAACGACACTTACTGGAACAGTACCGAGTTCCTCGCCTGGTTGTACAACGACAGTCCCGTCAAGTCGAGCGTCGTGGTCAACGATCGCTGGGGAATCGGCATTCCCTGCCATCACGGTGACTTCTACAACTGCAAGGACCGCTACAACCCGGGAATCCTGCTGAAGCACAAGTGGGAAAACGCCATGACCATCGACAAGCACTCGTGGGGATACCGGAGGAACGCCAATCTGAGCGACTACCTCAGCATCGAGCAACTAATCGAGAAACTGGCTTCAACCGTGAGCTGCAACGGCAACATTCTCATCAACGTCGGGCCGACCAAAGACGGCGTCATCGAACCCGTCTTCGAAGAGAGACTGCTTCAGCTAGGCAGATGGCTGGGTGTGAACGGAGAGGCCGTCTACGGCTCGAAGCCCTGGAAGCACCAGAACGACACACTCACTCCGGGCATCTGGTACACGACCAACAAGGACATGGACGTGGTCTACGTGTTCGTCCTCAATTGGCCTAAATTCAACAAGTTGACGCTGGAGTCTCTAGTTCTTTCCCAGAAAGCGAGGATTACCATGTTGGGTCTTAACGATGGCCTGTTTCAGTGGGATCATACTGGAGGGAGCGACGATTCCTCCCGGAGAACAGTGACGATCCTGTTCCCACCCCTTACGCCAGACCTTCTGCCAACTCCATGGGCTTGGGTGCTTAAAGTCGAAGGGGCGCTCTAGAGAGGGCACCATCTGGAAAATGCGTTTGATGCAGAAAATGTCGGACGTCTTGTTAACTGCTTTCATTGCCTCAAATCTGAGTTTGTTTCAATGTCATGTTGTATAAGGCTAGCTTCCTTTTGTTTACATAGCTCACACTTGATGTCATCGCATTGTGCTGGCAGTCATTCTAGCTTGCTCTTGCCTAGGTAACCAAATTAGATAGAGTCAAATGTGGGATAAAAACGTGCTCAGCAACAAGGCCACCTCAATGGCCTCTTGTGTAACGTAAGTGCAGGACACATGTCAACGTCACCAGATTTACCTCAGTTATGGAACTCGCGCAGAGGAAGAACCCCCCCCCCCCCCCCCGCCCTTTCACTCTGCTCAGCCCGCCTCCCGTTATAGCCTTCAATCGTTTGAAGCACCATCTAGATTTTCGTTTCAAAACTGTGTTCGATTGAGAATGATGAAACGACATATAGACGGGGATGTGCTTCGAAACATAAATATGTAAAAGAATACATTGCAGATGCCATAGCAGGTGACTGTGGCGCGTCGAACGATATGGCAGGCAAGCGATGGAGGGAACTGTTCGTGGAAGCAGCCTACGGGCAGTTCCGTAACTGTGCTAATCCAGTAAAGTTGGAACGTATAGTGGCCGCCATAGTTGTGTGTGTCGCTGTCGATCGCGTGCTAAAAGCGAGCCTTCACCAGACTCATTTCATGTCGTCGAAGCAATAGACCCTTTTCAAAAGTCCATCAAGCAAAACTGAACGTCGCCATTGCTTAGACACGAAGCGTGTGATTGGATCCGAGTGCTTGTCCGCAATACATGCACAGAGTGCGTGCCCAAACAATGGCGGACTCGGATAGTTGTCGCGGCAGCTGCTAGATGGCGCGCACTTAAAGTGTCAATTATGCTCGGCAGACTCTATGTGGCTTTACTCACAGATCGTGCTGATGACGACATGGGAATACTTTTTATTGGTAAGTGTATCTATATAGATGTTTGCATGCAGCCCCGCTTCAAAAGCTAGTCTGACCATTAATTAAAATACGGCAACCAACCAATTCCTAAACATGTAGGGGCCCTACGTTTCGAACCGACTCGGTTCTTCGTTATAAGATCCCTTGTGCAGATTGTCCAGCCACTTACATCGGCGAGACAAAGAATTTTAATGAAAGAATACGCCAACACAAAAACGACGTTCGCAAGCTCGACCACGAGCGCAGCGCAGTCGCCGAGCACTGCGAAGTCAAAGACCACCGGATTGACTCCGACAACACCAGCATTATCGATGCAGAGACTAACAACCGACATAGGCTTTTCGTCGAGTCCTGGCATATTCAAACGACGCCAGGCAACATAAATAGGTGCCTTGGTGCTTTACCAACGGTGTATGTGAACGGGCTTCGCCATATTCATGAAAGAAGAGGATAGAGAAATGCGCCACATCCCTGAGAAAAGAAAAAGAAGATCGAAAAACGTCGCTCCTCAACGGCCACAGTCGCCCCCACTGATCTCAATGACAATTGCTGGATCGCGCTTGCCGCTCCCGCAAGTGAAGCCACCGGGCTTCACTCGCTTGGGATACGATTTGCCGTTTTTGCTAGCCTTTGCTGCGGTTTTCCAGCGTGCTGACGACACGTTTTCTACTCGTTCGTCGTCATTCGCCGAAGAAGTGTTTTGAAGACTCTGTGTATTGTTGAGACTTGCCGTTGTGAACACGTGGAAAATTTTACGAAAGTGCAGTGTCGCAGGAAAAAGGCACAACGCGTCGAAAGGAAGGGCTGGCGGCGTGTTCAAAGCTTCCTTGGCACGCCGAAGTGCCGTGTCTCTGTGCCTTCGCGCGCTTGGATACCGACCAAGAACCGACGCCGTGTGAATGTGTTTAGCGAGTGCAATGTGCGTGAAGCCGTATCAAAAGGTACAACTCGTCGAAAACGTGTCGCCGGTGTCGCGGCGTGATCAAAGCTTCCTTGGCACGCCGAGTGATGCATCTTTGTGCCTTCGCACACTTGGATACCGGTCAAGAATTGACGCCGCGCCAAAGTTCTGAACGTGTGTCGCGCGTAGATGCCTTTAGATCATTTATATATATCGGCCACGGAGTTCTAGATCGTCCAGCTGTTCCGGTGAGTTGCTATAAATAAAAGGGGGAGATCTGTACGTGTTCTTATGTACTATATTAACCATGGCTATGTCCCAAATCTACTCTAATAGATTCCGTGGGAGCACGAATAGGGCAACGTTGTGGAGCCAGGTGGGTTTTCGAAAGCAAAAGTACAAGACGGCGAGAATGAAAATCTTTGAAGCGCGGCCGATATAGTCGTGTGCAATCTGTTGACCAATTACAATTAGGCGAGCCGCGCTCAAACGTCAAGTGCAATTAAGTAGGTTGATAATAAGCCAGCACTGATCAGTGATGAGGAGCTGTTGTGCACGGTATTGTGTAAATCGTCTAAGGACGAAAAAAATACGTACCTTCTCCCCATCTTCCGTCGCTAGTGGACGCTGGATTAGGCTCGTTCCTAAACCGCGAGGGGAAAAGACGCTGATCCAGAGGCACGAACAGCTTCACGCACATTGCACTCGCTGAACACATACACACGGCGTCGGTTCTTGGTCGGTATCCAAGCGTGCGAAGGCACAGAGACACGGCACTTCGGCGTGCCAAGGAAGCTATGAACACGCCGCCAGCCCTTCCTTTCGACGCGTTGTGCCTTTTTCCTGCGACACTGCACTTTCGTAAAATTTTCCACGTGTTCACACCGGCAAGTCTCAACAATACACAGAGTCTTCAAAAAAACTTCTTCGGCGAATGACGACGAACGAGTAGAAAACGTGTCGTCAGCACGCTGGAAAACCGCAGCAAACGTTAGCAAAAACGGCAAATCGTATCCCAAGCGAGTGAAGCCCGGTGGCTTCACTTGCGCTGCAGCGAACAAGCGGGGAAGCGCGATCCAGCAATTGTCATAGAGATCAGTGGTCGCCCCTGACGAAGAACCGAGTCGGTTCGAAACGTAGGGCCCCTACATGTTTAGGAATTGGTTGGTTGCCGTATTTTAATTATTGTATTCCCCAACCAGAGAGATTTCTCTCAAATGTTTAGTTTCAAGTCTTTACGCGATGACTTCGGAGAGGAGACCGTACAACTCTCAAAAAGGTATGTGAATGCCACTCGAAGTATCTCCACGTTCAAGGCACACCTGGACTTCACGAAAGCCTGCCGGGACCACCACCTGGTTCCCCAAAGCCTTCGTCTTAAACGGCTCGTTCATACGCCGGAGGGACACAAGATCTTCGAGCAAGCGGAGCACCGTTTGGTCAAAGCCCGCATTCACCAGTGCCAGACCACCATAAAGAAAAAAGAACTGGATCTGTATTTCATCCGCAGGCAACTAGAACACCGCATGCCAGCTATGCTCCCTCACTTACACTCTTTTGCTGAAAGCATTGCCTCCACCTCTGCAGAAAAGCAAAGAGTTTCTCAGAGTAAGAAATTCTCGAAGCTGATGGAGAGAGAAAATACTAAACACGGAACCGATACCACCAGGTTTGTCATAAACCTCTCGTCCAGGAATCTCTCTTCTTGCGAGACCAAGGTTTTAGCCAAAGGCCACGGATTTAACATGACTACCACGAGACCGCCTCTGCCGAAAATGGTTGCAGCCCTGGAGGACGGCATCGCGCACCTGAATCCTAGCGATCGTGAGCGGGTGCGACAGAAGGTGATCGGTATTTTATCAAACATCCCGCAGCATCAACGACACAATCTCTCAAGAGAAGAAGGAAGTGCGCTCCGGGCGCTTCACGATGATGAAAAGATTGTGCTTCTTCCAGCAGATAAGGGCAATTCGACCGTTGTCCTCGACCGGGATGTCTACGACCGGAAGATATACGACCTGCTTGACCCCTCTGCTTATGAAAGACTAAAAAAGGATCCGACACCGCGAATCCAGGCAACGCTGAGCAAGATCCTAACTGAAATTTTCAAGAAACATCCAGACTCGAGGAGCCTCCACCTGCACCTCCTTTGTAGGAATGGATCTGCGCCTGGTTTTTACGGCCTTCCCAAGATCCACAAGCCTAGCCTTGCTCTCCGGCCCATTGTGGACTTTAGAACCTCACCACTTCGAGCCGTGTCGAACTATCTTCACCACACCCTCTCTCCTCTCGTCGGAAAAACGACGACTTATATCAGCGACTTCGTGGAGCGCATCTCGAAATTGAAGGTGAGCGCTGAGGAAAGCCTAGTCTCTTTTGACGTCATCTCACTTTTCACAAGTGTGCCGGTTCTCCTGGCAGTTACAGCTGCCAAGAAGGCTTTCGAAAAAGACAAAGACCTGCACAACAGGACCGCCCTTAGTGTGGAGGAACTGTGCCGCCTCCTTGAGTTCTGCCTCAGCAACACCTACTTTAGCGTCAAGGGAGAGTATTTTAAACAAGCCAGCGGAACCGCCATGGGCGCACCTGTCTCCGTTACCACGGCTAACCTGTGCATGGAAGCCATTGAGGAAGAGGCCCTGCAGTCATTCGCCACTGGGCCCAAAATATTTGTGCGGTATGTGGACGACTGCTTCTGCATCCTTCAAAGATCTGAAGTGGACAGATTCCTCTCACACCTCAACTCCATCGAACCGGCTATCCAATTTACAGCGGAACTTGAAAAAAACAATTCATTGCCTTTTTTGGACGTGCTCGTGAGAAGAGAAAAAGAAAATTTGAAGTTTTCAGTCTACAGGAAGCCCACGCACACTGGACGTTATCTCCAGTTTGATTCCTATCGCCCAGCCTGCCACAAAGCATCGGTGGTTAGGACACTGCTGTCTAGGACGAAGGCTATATGCTCCTCTGAGGATGACAGAAGAAAGGAAGAAAAAACCGTGCGTGCTGATCTGAAAAAGAACGGATACACGAGCACCTTCATCCAACGCGTTGCCCGTCGTCAAGCTCGAGGTCAAAGACAACAGCAACCACAAGCCTGTACGCAGTCACGCCCAACCTCGCGCATCTGCGTACCCTACATCAGAGGAACAAGCGAGGCGCTTGCACGCGTGCTAGCCAAAGAAGGAATCCGCGTAGCCCACAAGCCGATGTCCACGCTTGGATTACTCATGCCCCGTCCAAAAGATCGCCCTCCAAAAGAAAAAACGCAGGGCGTGGTTTATAAGATCCCTTGCGCAGACTGTCCAGCCACTTACATCGGCGAGACAAAGATTTTTAATGAAAGAATACGCCAACACAAAAACGACGTTCGCAAGCTCGACCACGAGCGCAGCGCAGTCGCCGAGCACTGCGAAGTCAAAGACCACCGGATTGACTTCGACAACACCAGCATTATCGACGCAGAGACTAACAACCGACATAGGCTTTTCGTCGAGTCCTGGCATATTCAAACGACGCCAGGCAACATAAATAGGTGCCTCGGTGCTTTACCAACAGTGTATGTGAACGGGCTTCGCCATATTCATGAAAGAAGAAGATCGAGAAATGCGCCACATCCCTGAGAAAAGAAAAAGAAGATCGAAAAACGTCGCTCCTCAACGGCCACAGTCGCCCCTGACGAAGAACCGAGTCGGTTCGAAACGTAGGGCCCCTACATGTTTAGGAATTGGTTGGTTGCCGTATTTTAATTATTGTATTCCCCAACCAGGGAGATTTCTCTCAAATGTTTAGTTTCTAGTCTGACCACTGTGCGTGGAAAATGCTCTGTTGGTGCATTAGTCTTGCAGTAGTGGGCACTCCTTAGCCAGGCCTGACTATCAGACGATCTACATCCGCCTGCAGCAGAAGAGCGGCACCCAGAGGCCGTTCTGGCAAACGCGTGCACGGTGATTCACAAAACGCAGGTCCAACTGTTCCCGTGGAAGCTATAATTTTTGGTGCAACGTTTTGTGAAACACGCTTTTACACCTGATGCACATTTTAGGGGTGCAAGGTTTTTTTCGTGAATGTTATACGTACTTTTTTATTGCAATAAAATGTGTGCAAGCTCATGGCTTATCTATAACGAAATCATTAATAATCTATTCTAATCCTTGTTTGTTTGTTTTTAAACGAGAAATGATCAGAAAAACTACTCGAAAAGTGTGTAGTAATACAAATTGTATGTTTTAGAAATAAAAAGCCTCAGTTGCGCAAATATTCAGGGTGTGTATGTTTAATTAGAAAATGTTTCTTAAAAAAAAAAAAAAAACGAAGTAATGCGATCTGTGCAGGTGAGTTATATGACCGCCGCAATAAGTCGCCTAATCAGCAAAAACTTTTTTATTAGCTTTATAGTTACTGAAAACAAACACATAACTTCAAATAGAAACCCGATGAGCGTAATCCAAAACCATTACCAGAAAGTAATTCATTACTTTTTACGTCACCTCTATTTCTTTTTTTTTTTTTACTTTCTGTTACGAGATTACAAATGCACACATATGTTCAAATTCGTTAGATTTTGTTTGCTTTTGTCATTCACACCTTGTCGTTCGAAGTCCTCGTCAGTCATCTTTCCACGCTTCCTGGTGAGGACATCTGCAGTGATACTGAAGACCCTCTCGACGGATGCGCTTGAGGGAAGAGCGGTGTTGCAGCGCACAAAATACTTGGCGTACCAGTACGTGGTTGCGGAGTACTTGGACGGACGCTTCCGAGCCCTCTAGGAAGCGAAGCGCTTCACTGTCGCGACCGCCTGCTGGAAGCGTCTCAGGTGGGCGGCAGCGAAAAGCTGAAAAAATCGACCGTGGACAGATTCTTCGGAGCGCCCGCAGATGCGAGTCACGCACAGGCAGACAGATCTTCTTTTTTTTTTACGTGAAAAACCTCATCTCAGTAATTTTAGCTCTTTCAGAAACATAATTGATTACTTGTAATTGATTCAAGAAATAGTAACTGAATAACAGCGAACGTTACCGCATAAAAAAATTATTGAAGCCTTAAAAAGTTACCAAAAAATGTAATTGATTACAAGTAATCATTTAGTTGTAACTTGTCACGTACAAGTGCGCGATTATACCTGCATCATGTCCCCCGGGCTGTATAACTCACCTGCATAAACCGAATTAGTTCACGAAGATTTTGGTATAATTTTTTTATCGAAATAAAATCACACACCCTCTTTTTGCTACCCAGGAAGCTGCCCCAGCACTGGGAGTAGGGTGTAGAATAAAAATCAATATAATTTAAATCATGACTTAAATTGCGATTAAATCGTTGTTTAAATGTCACCCGTTACTATAGTGATTTAACCCACAATAATATTCCCGAAAATATTTTTTATTTGTTTTATTTGCTGCTTTCGTTGTTTGTATTTAACTCAAAGAATCGCCAGGCAAGAAAGATTTATATATAACTGAACACAAGCAAAAAGAAGTGCTCTTCTTAGAAAATCGGAGCGTACTGAACTTGATTTTTACTTTCCATTCTGTTCGTCAGCTATGTAATGTCATATTGCAACAAGATCGTATACAAAATAAAGAATGCAGGTCGACAAAAGTAATATCATATTACAATAACGTGAAGAACAAAAAACTCAAACGAAGTCTTTTTTTATTTAACTAAAAAAAAGTTAGCTTGTTTTCGTGCTAGTAGGACTGGGATTACAGTAACTAAAAGTTGTTCATTACAGTGTACTTTGCATTTACGGTAATTCTTCTGCATTGTTAATAGTGATCGGACGAAAGTACCAATCAATCAACCATGTTGAAAAATACGTATAGGGTTAAAGAATCACCATTTTCTAGCATAAGTGATTTCAATCAAATTAATTTGATTTAAATCAAATAAATTTGGTTTATTTAGTTTTCCTTTGAATCGTGACTTTTTTACACCATGACTGGCAGGTAGCCCTAAAGGAGTGTGTTCAGGCAAGGAAAGTCATAGGGGTGTAACGTTTTTTGTTTTTTTTTTCATTCAAATTTTATATGAGGTAGCAAGACATGTCTACACAACAGAACAGACCTTGGTTTTTTCAAGGTACCGTATTTTCCGAACTCTAGTCAGCTTCCGGTGTATAGTCCGCGGAGGCAAATTTGAAATCAAAAGTAAAAGTGTTTGCTTATAGATAGTTTGCACCCGGTGTATCGTCCGCACCTAGTGCCAAATCCGAACGTAAACATGATCATACACAGCACATATTGGCAAATGCCTGCTGTATTCAGACTTGTACGTAATCCGTTACAAGTAACGAAATTACTTGTAATCCCTTACATTTATCAGTAATTTTGTAACGAAATAATTACATATTTCCTAGAGTAATTTTAAAGTAATTCCCTTACATTTTTGACGTAACGGATTCCTTGTAATCCGTTACATTTTTTTGTCAGAATCAACCCCCCGCCCCCATTCTAAATAAAGATTTTTTTTTTTTGTAAAGTCGAACGCAGTGACATTGTCACGCGAATCGACTAGCGTAAAGGGAGGCTTGGCACTCTTCAGTTCCTCAAAGCCTTTTTTTTTGCAACACCAAGCCCCTGAATCTACCCTTTTATTTAGACCTTAACATCAATGTCAAAAAAAATCCCAATAAACAATTCACGAAAAGAAAAAAAAAAGGGGGGGGGGGGGGGCAAGGTATTTCCGCTTTTTTTTTTTTTAGTCCCTTTGTCTTTTCTTTGCGATCAAAGATGGGGAGAGGAGGACACCAAGTGATTGTGCGCCTCTTCGAGAAGCTCGAGGCGGTAAATGCACTGAAAAGAATTAACAATGTCTTTCTCAGATATAGTGACTACGACCATTTTCATAATGTCACAACAGGGGACAACGCTCCGTCTACCCTACCCTTTTTGTGAGTCAGCTTTTTGCGAGCATTTAGAATATGGTAACAGTCTTCCTTTCTTCCTCTTCCTGTTTTGCCCCAGCAGGACGCATCTTATCTCAAGCAGATATTTTTACAAATAAAACATATAGGTGACTGACGTAGCCTTGATATTCTGGGCTTGAGGAGAGGGTCAAATTCGTGAGTGGGGCCATAGCGCGGCTTACTTAGTACTCTACCCTTTGCTGCCCGTGGTCCAACAGACGTCTATCTGGAGAACACCGGAGTAAATTGCAGTCGGTTCGTGCTCCGTGCGTTTTTGAACGGCACCAAGAAAGGTACACACGGGAAACGTGCGTCTACATTTCCTTGTTTTAACTGACGTTCTAATTAAGTGGTGTTATGAGTGTCTTCTTTTTCTTTTATAACTGATATTTATATACTGGAAACTTTTTTTTATTCACCAACGTCTCAAGTGAGGCTCGAACTGTTCAGAACCAAAGGAAGAATATCGAGCCAAACCTTATTTATTATTTAATTATCAATTTATCACCTTAATGTTACAACTATGTTTTGCTATTGATGACTTCTACAGCTTCGCGATTTAGAGAATGGAGAATTTTAGTAGATCCGTCCGATGACTCCGATAACGATATCCGATACTTCGCCGCCGTCTTTGCGTATGCATCATATCGTTATCGGGTACCGTTATCGTGGGTATGGAACGTATCGGAAGGATCTACTAAATCTCTCAAATAGCAGGCAACGGCTGCAACGACGAAGCTTTGCTCTACATTCTCGAGGAAAATAGTACTTCCCTTGCTTCGCTGAAAAAGCTCAATGCAGAGCATGAAGCATTCGTGAGGAACAATATGACACTCCCATCCAGTGCCTCAGCTCAAATTGTGTTCAGCGTAGCAGTCGACATATTGAGTAAGAGATAATGCAAAATGTCTGACGAGACATATAAGAGCCAGCTGTTGCTCAAAATACTCAAGGTCATTAAAAGGAACAGGTGGCAAGAATAAGAACTTGAATAACCCTCTTCCCTTTGTTTCTTACTTGATAACAATAATGTTAAAAGTAACGCCACGAAAGTAACGGATTACTTTTTCAGGTAACGGTCAGTTACTTTCATGGGAGGGTAATTGTAATTGTAATAAATTACAATTTAGCCTTGAGTAATTGTAAATGTAATTCCTTACTATTTTTCAGTAACGTGTACAAGTCTGGCTGTATTAGCTTGTATCATACATAAATCACCATTAATGTGCTTCGTTATTCATAAAATTCTTCACGTCTTGTCACAGTAAACGATCTAGAAAAATACAACACCTTGTATAGTCCGCACCTGTACATAGACCGCATTAGGAAAAAGTAGAGTTTTTAGACATATATACTCCGACTATACACCGAAAAATACAATACTTCCTTGTTTTCGCGAGAAAAAAAAAATCGCGTCTGAGAGGAGGTTGAAGCAACGACGTTCCGGATTGCGCGTTCACGCAACTTTGAGGGCACAGGGAATAACCAGTACAATTTTCTAAACCGTTCATATTTTTATGTACAATGCACGGAAACTGTTCTACTGGAGATAATTAAATTCACTTTATTTGAGCCTATATTTAAAAAAAAAATCAAACTTTGGTTCTTGAGCAACTCGATCATATTGAAGAATTTCGGGGGGGGGGGGGGGGGGGGGGAATTTAAGGTTATGTTATTTATGTTTTCGAGCTGAAACACTTCTTGTGCCAAGTATCATTTTGCTATGTGTATTTTAAAAAATATATATATATTTAAGGTTCACTGTTGTCTGTGTGTTTTCTTTTTTGCATTGTGCCCGTAAGTTCTTTAGAAATAAAAAAAAAAAAAAATACTGCAAGCTTTGAGCAACAATTAAAAAAAAATAGTTACTTTCGATATCTTTAAACTTTATCTGATCGACCCTTGACAATCGATAATACGAAATCCGCAGATATTTATTGCTTTCTTTTGTTTTAAACTAAAATAATAAATGTTTAGTAAGCGCTACGTTGCAGTCGATTACCGATGGAGGGTCTCTTTCTTAACGATGAGATGAAAGACCTCCCTGCCATCTTCGTCCTGCCAGAAACTTATCAGTGATTTACCGCATCAGCACAAAGCGTCGTTTGCGCTGGGACGTGAAGCGAAGTATAGTGTTACCTTATAAAGTATCGGACAAAAATAATAATGTAATCTTTTAACGGCCTACCATCGTTTATATTCGTGATGGTCGGCACGAGTGCCTTTTCAAGCCAGCCTTTAACCCGGCATACTGAAGCCTCTTAACGTCGTCTGTTACGTCCAAACAATTAACGAAATTTCTAAATCAGAGAGTGCCTCCCGATCCTCGATATATAAGGTGCAATCGTCGCCAAGGATATATCTTTTTTCTTCTTTGTATTCGCTGTGAGCAATAGACCGATCTCACTAAGCGTTCGGCGCATGCGTGACACCGCCATAACTTTAGTTCACAGATAGCAGACGGCCGTGGATGCGAGGGCTTGTGCCGTCTCGTGCTGCACACGTGCGGAGCTCCAGCGGAGTTGTCGCACGCGCAGAAAGATTAAAGGTTCCCTCGATGCATGGCGACAGCGGTGGCGTAGTCAAACTGGCTGGTGAGATCGGTCTATTTTATTTAAACCAGAATTGATATATGCCTGGTAGTACATATGGGCCAAGCAGAAAATAGTTTTCCTGCTTCGAAGAAACAATTTCAGCTTTCAGGTGGACCGTTACTCTGTTACTGTATTACTACTCTATATAAACTGATTAGAAAATAATTATTTCGGAAAAATATAACGAAAACAAATTGTGCTTTTGAGCTTACCGGAGGTTACTGCTGCCACTAACTGTACGTCGTGGCTTTAATGCTTGAAGAGCCAAAAGAACGATTCATTACGTGCTGTAACATCATTATATATTGCACGCAAAATGTGTTAATTAATAGCAACACTGAGAACAATAAAGCTCGTCGAGGGAAAAACTCGCTCAGAACTGAACGGAAGCGCCATTTTTGCAGATATGAGCCAGTTGTTTCCCACCTCAACAACTATTCATATTTTTAATCACCTTCTAATCCAGCTGAGCTAATTCAAAATTTGCGCGCTCAAGCTAAAAATGGAACATTAAATATAATGTGTTTCCCTTTACTAATCGATGATGTCTACCTTTCCGGTTCTAAATACAAAAAAATACCCGGTCCTTATCCTGCCCTCGTTGATCTCGGCTGGCTTTTTTAAGAACTCAAGGAAGACATTCGCAGTCACTCTTAGGTTACATGGATGCAAAACCTCCCATTTCCCACAACCTCGCCTGAACGGCGGCGTAGATAAAAGCAAATCGCCGCGGCGTTTTTCACGACGTCGGAAATGCATGGGCGAGCCGACGTCCCAAGGAGATCTTTGGTATTTTGGGACAAAAGAAGAGCAATGATGCTTCATGTTGCAAAGCAGCAAACTGTCCCAGTAATACCCCAGGAATTTTCTTAGGGGGAGTACTCGTGCTCTCTGCATTATGTAAGCTCGCCGTTTTGCCAATGACATTTTTAGTTTTTATTTGCATATACAACTACTTTGCGTCCACGCCTGATGTGATAACACAGTTTAAAATGTCAACATGTTGGCAGTTTTCAACAGAACAAGAGCAAGTTCACTGAGGAAAACAGAAGCACCCCTAGCAAGAATATCACCGTGAATTCCCTTGTTTTTTTGTGTTTTTTTCCAATGCCTACGCTGTTTGTTACTATAAAGGCACTCAAACATTTATTGCAACTTCTGTTTCTAAAGACTTGCGTTTTCAGAAATATAATCTCGCAACGTCGACTCAATCGCAGGTACAAACCCGACGTAATCTGGTCCGACGGAGAGTGGGAGGCCCCAGACAGCTACTGGAACAGTACTCAATTCCTCGCCTGGCTCTACAATGACAGCCCCGTCAAGTCCAGCGTGGTCGTCAACGATCGTTGGGGCAAGGGACTGCGCTGCAAGCACGGCGACTTCTATAACTGCGACGACCATTACAACCCCGGGGTCCTGCAGAAACACAAGTGGGAGAACTGCATGACCATCGACAAGTCCTCTTGGGGATACAGGAGGAACGCCAAGCTCAGCAACTATCGCACTGTCCAAGGGCTCATAAAGGAGCTGGCCAGCACCGTGAGCTGCTACGGCAACATCCTCATCAATGTTGGACCCACTAAAGACGGCATCATCGATCCGATATTCGAAGAGAGGCTGCTCCAACTGGGCATCTGGCTTGGTGTGAACGGAGAAGCAGTCTATGGTTCGAAGCCCTGGAAGCACCAGAATGACACGCTCACCTCGAGTATCTGGTACACGACGAATAAGGAGAGCGACACTGTCTACGTGTTTGTCCTCAAGTGGCCCAAGGCAAACAAACTTTACCTTGGATCACTCGACGTGTCACCTTCCGCGAGCATCACCATGCTGGGTCTAGGGAGTGACCAGTTTGAATGGCATCAAAACCGAAGTAGGGAGAATTCTGTTCGGGGAAAACTGACGATCGTTTTTCCGTCACTCACTCCCGACCTGCTTCCGACGCCCTGGGCTTGGGTGCTTAAAGTAAAAGGAGCCATTTAGGCACTTTTGCCAGAAAGATGCCTCCAGTCGTTCCCTTGACGAGAGGATCTGTCAGCGTATCTGCTTGTGTTTAAATGACGTTAACCAAGTACTTACTTGACGACATTTTTCTTCCACTAGTACACTCCAATGTAACCAGAATACATACTCGATCAGTCGATCGATCGTTAGGCACCGAATATAACCTGTATTTTTTTTTTTTATAAATATTACTGACTGTACGAGTATCACGTCGAAATAGCATGGGGACATTGCTCGTTTTAACTAATCGTCTTTTCAGTTCGACCACGACAAATATTCCCGCTGCATTCATGTACCACTTGTTGTTACTTATTGCTTTATTATAAGCTTAAAACAATTAGAGCTTTACTAGCAACCTGCATACACGGTAATGGGCAAACATGTTGTTCTCTCGTTTGTTACTCCAGGCCCTTAATTCATACCCAGCTGTGTATTTAGGCTTTCTTCTTTGCCTATACGTGTCTTTCACGTCGCGTCATAACACCGTGCTGCTGGTCCTTCCCAGTTGTTCTTCTGTAGAAAAAAGAAACAAATTCGGTGGAGCGAAATGTGTGCTGCAAAAAGTACGCGTTCAGCTGCAAGACCACCACAATGGTCACAGATGTGAAGTCAGTTCAAGTCATGTATTATTTTTAATCCAGTCTCAGCTCTAACATGGTTCTTACCGCATACTTTTAATAACCCCGCGCGCAATTTGCATGCGCATGTATCACAGATTGTGATACCTTTCCCCTTGGCATCTGCAAAACATTGCGCAAGGTTTACACTGTTAGGTACCATGAGCAATCGTATTCGATAGGTTTCAACCAGTCCAAGTGTTTCTGAGGGTCCGTTGTGTAAGCAAGCCTTATTTTCCCTGTCCCTTCCATTTTTTTTTTTTTTTCTCCCTGAAGGAACGTGTAGGAGGAGCTTGTAAGGCATGAAGTTCAAGATTCATTGAAGCAATAAAACGTTTCTGAAATTCAGTCTGGCAACTTTGATCGTTATCATCATCTCAGCGTACAACATATATGTGACAAACTAATAGTATCGTGGGCTAGGATGGGAGGTGTGGCGATTGCTAGGCTTCGTCCAGCGGGGAAAAATGCAAGGCTTTTGAGCACGCAGCGTTAGCATCGATATGCCCGCAGCGCTGGGGACCCAGCTAATTGTCGGGAAAGCCACTCTCCATGCGTGCAGGAGTCAACTAAAATGGGAGAACACGACGCCGAGTAACGAAAGATTTTGTTTGACACCGAAGAACTCTCGACAGGATCGGTGGAGAACCGGCGAGTGGCGGTACCAATGTCGGTTTTCGAAGCGATCTAGCTCTCCGTGTGCCTGCACAAAAGCTGTCATTGCGGTAAGAACAACCCGTAATGTCATAAGCGTCAGTGTAGAACAGAGTCTACGTACACCACTGGTCACACTATCATTATACGGGCACGCGCATGTTCCGCTCTCTTTACGAACTCTTTATTAGCTTAATTCGTACATACGTCAAGTCACACCGCTATCGGCGCTCGATGTTTTGTTCGGTTGCGAAGCGATGTGCATACATGAGCGTGCAGTCAGCACGAAATGAAACCCGAACGCCGGAACGCGTGGCCGTTGATACAGGCTGTTCCACCTGGAGGGCCCCCGGAAGTAAGGAAAATCTGCCGGGGTGCGAGGGTGCGGGTACTACTAAGATGAGCTCGACCCTCGCGAGGCGCGTCTGGGAGTTCCGCGTTTCGCCGGTGAGGCGTTGTAAGCGCCGTCATATCCGATACAAAAAGCACAGTCACTCGCTTTGTGTATCGGATTCCCAGCAATATCTCTTCAGCGATGTCATTCATTATCGCTTTGTGTATCGCAAGGGCGAAATAATAGTTGAAACATTTCGTGCACCGAAGACCCGTAGTGCTTGATGACGTGTCGCCGGAACCACACTGGGGCTCCGGTGAACAACGTGCCACGCGCAGTTTCTGAGAAATAGTGAAACGTCATAAACGCAAAATAAAATTCGTTTGTTCGCACGACCATACTCTTCATGAAAAAAAAAAAGAAGAATGCTGCAACAGACCGACGCGCATGCCTCGGTTTTTATGAGCAATGCGCATGTTTTCGTGCGAGCTAGCTTATCAGTCGATTCTTAAAAAGCGAGGAATCGCTTGCTAACGCTCTCTTTGGTAACCACCGATATGCTAGGCGTATCAATTCTGGAGCGGAATAGATTCATCACCCTGTTTAAGCAGGGCCTATCGCAGAGAGCTATATCCATGTTAAGCGGCCGCCCGGTGTCAACCGGGCGAAAGCGGGGCGACAGTGCGGCGACAGAAAAGCACCCCGAGTGGCGGCGCTTATAGCGCACCACCGGCGAAACGCGGAAGTCCCAGACGCCCCACGCGAGGGTTGAGGACATCTTAGTAGGACCCGCACCCTCGCTCCCAGGTGCATTTTCATTAGTTCTCAGGGGCCCTCCAGGTGGACCAGCCTGTATCGATGGCCACGCGTTCCGGCGTTCGGGTTTCATTCCGTGCTGATTGTACCTGAGCTAATTCATCTTGATCATGCGTAGCGAGATTAGGGGGACCTTTAGAAAACCGCTGCCAGCGTTCAGAGTACCGTACTGCTGGAGCCTTTGAAGCATGTTTTTAAGTGAGCGCCCCGCTGCCACGGTATCACTCGGGCGCGCGCTTAAAAGCATGCTTCGAAGACTCCGGTAGTGCGGTACTCGGAACGCGGCAGTGGTTTGCTAAAAGTCCTTATTGTCTGATAACTCACGTAATCTTGAACAGACACAATACGCAAATCCGTTTTTTTTTTTTGTATATGTGTGTGTTTTTATCCTGGGTTTGGCATTAAAGTTATTAGCCAGCTTGCCTACGATTTACACTTACGTCTTAATATAACGAAGATGTTGCGCTTATGAAATGTTGCATATGTTTTGAGGTATGACAGCTGGAACTACATGCAAGCGCTTTTCCAATGAATGAACTTTCAGGAACGTGTCGGCTGTGTAGCGCTAACAAATTAGGGTTTCTCAAAATACGAGAAATCCTTTCTTTATTATTTCTTCCGGCGCTGGTTTCCTCGTTATTACTTAACTTTCACTAGTCACATTGTGGGGCTTATTTACGCCTTATACATCGATTATGAGAGTAACCGCCTGGCAATTAATCAGCCAGTGTTCGTAAACCGGGAAGTACTAGCCAGTTTAAACTGGGCAATATTTAAAGGCGATTATAAAATGGGGCTGGCTCGCCAACAAACTTGGTGTTATGAGGCAAATCTGGCACAAACAATTTCACCACTCTGACGCAGCTCGCTGGGAAAACAGACAATAGAAAGTCGCAAAAAATAACCAGTTTATTTACAACTTCCACGCATTACACTTTTTGATATATTAAAATTAACACTACGTTTTCCTGTTTTCTTTTTTTTTTTTTTTTGCCATACCTTACATGGTCGTATCTGGCGGACCCTGTTGCTGTACTTTATCCTAGCATCCTTGCTGACGCGAACTACCCCCCCCCCCCCCTCTTTTTTTCCAGACAGCAACACATAGCAACAGGCCTATCCAAATCGAAACAGACAGCGCCTGAGATTGCACTCTGGATCTCAATCGGCGTATAACGTGGAACATTACCGGATTTCACTCCGCGTGCCCCCTGCGACGCGTAGTGTACTGACAGAGCTTTCCTCCTTGCTCCTCTGAGAGGTGCAACCCTGCCAAACGAACAAAGACAGTCTCGGCAGTTAATTAGACAGTAACCGTGATTCACGTGGAATATGGTGAAGTGATTCATCCAAGAGACCGCACACCAACCTGTCTCGGAGCATATCGTCCAGCGTCGTCCCCGAAGTCGCAGTGCTCCGACAGTCGACGAAGCTCGGCGACCTAGTCAGCGGTGCTCTCACCCGGTCGCTGGTCGCGTTTCCCGAACTGAAACCGCTGCACGATAACGGACGGCCTAGGGTTGAAGTGAGCCGTCAGCTTTGAGACGATATGCTCGTAGCTTGCATCGGACGGAAGAGCCGGCGAACAGAGGGAACGAATGATGGCGTACGTCGGCCTCCCCGCGGACCGTGCATAGCACAGCACGCTTCTTCTCGGCCGCCTGGAGGTCGTTCGTGACGAAGTAGAACTCTGTAGTCTCTCCAGGTACGAAGGCCATGTGCGTCGGTACCCGGCGCGAACTCGTCGATGGTGCCAAATGTCGTGGCTGCCGCCATAGTGCCTTGCTGGCTGAGCGCGTCCGCTTCGTCCCCCGTTGCCGTCGTCGCTTATTTCTTTACCTCGTCGCCGATGTTATATATTTAAGAGCGGAAGTGTTAAAAGTATATTTACAAGTAGAACGTCTGCCCTGAGGCCTACTCAGTAGCGTTCCATTTGACACGACAATCAGTCGTCGCCTTCTTCTCTCACGTGACACGCACCTCGTTCAAAGCTGCCTGGCGAGGAACCGAGTCGACATCTATGACAGTTTTAAATTCTTTAAATATTATTAAAGCACCACAATTTTTAGCGGGAGCATTTTTTAACCGTAATCTTTCAAACTACTTTTTATAGTAGCGCCGCTTCGCGGACGGGATTGGAGGCGTATCTGGGCCCGCGAACCGGCCCGACTTTCCGCTCTTTCCCTTCTGTATATTACTCTTTGCTTGCTTGGCTTAAATAGCTTGGCTTAGCTTGGCTGGGTTTATGGCGCCACTTGCGGAGCGCGAAGGTGTTAGCATGACACGCTCCTCCTGCTGGGGGCTGAGTCGAATGGGACGGCCGGTGGAGCATCCTGGAGGCCATGACTAAAGAAGAAGAAAATGTATGGTCACAATAGGAGGTATTCACTGGACGCCATATTTGAGGGCGATGTTTAGAGCGCATGCTCAGAACGAGCTCACAAAAATAGCCTGCTAAGACCGGCAACCTTGATGGTGCTAAATGCACGCTCCAAAAAGACTGCGGAAGCTCGCCGTCAGCACGCGCTCAGCAGCAGCGCATACGGATATGGCCGCCAGTGAATACTCCCTATAGTGAAGTGCCGCGTCGTGCCGCATAATGAATTTGGGCACGGCACACTGAACTCAACGCAACGGATACAGGCTGCAGTGTGGCCCCTCGGCGTACTTCTTCTTTCACCTTTCGTGTAGTGCAGGGTGGCGCCATTATCCGCTGATCGATGGCCCTCCGGCGCCCGCTACAGCCCTCCACAGCTCCGCATGCTGAATCACTGAGTCACTTTCGCAAGTGCGATCGGGAGACATACCTCTTCTTGCCCACCATACTATACTTTGTTTCACCTTATGATGTACCGCAGGAAAGGCTACAAGCGCGAGCTCCTTGCTCTGGGGCCCATCTCGGCGGCACAAGCTCTCGTGACTTAAGAGCGGCTGCCAACGCTATGAGCTCGCGCTTCTAGCCGTTGCTGCGGTACAACATAAGATGAAACGTAGTATAATAACGGTCTTTTTCTTAGGGCTGATCAAGGAAGAAGCTGAAGATGCTATCAAGCGAAGGATATATGATTCCAGTACGTTCGAGACGTCGGTGTCTTTAATCTCATTTTCAAATATTTGATTCACAAAGGTTTTTCGATGGCTGAATTTATATCTGTGAGCTGTCTTTTATGTTTTATGTGTTATATCTAGGGTGTGTACTTTCCGGTGTTTATTTGTGAGAAAAATCGGCGGATGTTTTTCGGTGTTTATTTATTTTCAAAGCACCGGTGTATTTCGGTGGAACGTCTCACGACTAGGCTAAAATCGGTGATTATCGGTGGAAAAAAATGCGATGGATCACAGACAGAGAGTTCCAATTTTATTCACATATTTCATACACTTCTCTAGGGAGCATCTATTTTCACACTTGGTTATTATAGTAGATGCAAGCCTACTTCGAGAGGCTTGCTTCCGTCATGGCAGCACGTTCCTTTCGGTTCACAACCCGCAATTATGAAAACGCACGCTCCTGTACGACACGGACGTTGGCAGTGTCTTCCAGGAACCACGGCAAGCCCTGAATACATGGCTTGCACCGACATCACTTGACCAGACAGAATGGGGAAAGGGCACGTGAGAGCCTACCCTCCACTGCGTTAACTTTTCCACAAAAGGGGGCCATGGTAGACACAATAGGGGAAAGGCGTGTGAGAGCTTAGCTTCCAATGCGTTCACTAGACGCTTTTGACCGCCAGAAAGGAGGGCGGACTGACGCCACGTGCAAGCCATGTATAAACACTGGAAGAATGCAGGATCCACGAGATAACACGTTTGACGAACCTCTACGGGGAAAGGGTTTTGCTAGGTCGGAAACATGCAACGACCGGTGTTTTTCGGTTTTAACCAGGGCGAAAATATCCGACCACCGGTGTTTTTCGGTTTTAACCGATTTTATATTGTTGTCACCGACGGATGTTTATCGGTGTTTTTCGGTTAAAACCGGAAAATACACACCGTAGTTATATCGTTCTATCAGTTTTGATATATCCATAAATAAATTTTGAATGTTTTTTTGATAAGCAGGGCTACATCAACATATACAGGAAGTCCTCTCACCGTGACAACCTCTTGCTCTTGCCGGCATAATTACGGTACATATTGTCTCTCTCCATCCTGTTTAGTCAACAATGGCGTTCTTCCCAGTGATTATCCTTGTTTACTGCGCGTTGACTGCCCCACGTTTCGGCACCATTTGTTTCAAATGAAGAATTCCCGGGTTCATCACTCCGGCATGGAGTAATCGCGGACACCGACACCTACCTATAATAGTTTAATGGCGACTAATAATAATTAAGAAAAAAATCCTTTTTTTCTATCTTTATGTATATACACCAACAAAGTTTCCGTCTTCTTCCTCGCCTTCCTTCCCATCTCCTTCTGTTGAAATTTCAACCTCCACTCTATCGGAACTTTCGTCCTCGTCCTCATACTTTGGATAAAGAAGTTGACGACCGACTCTATTTTCACCACAGGACACATGCAGATATGTAATCGCTTCTCCTCGTCGACCGCAATCACGAAGCGGCGGTTCCCACCTTATCATCGGTGGGAAGCCTATTCCCCCTCATTGATACGTCGTCGCCATCGCGAAATCAGTCGAAAGCGAAGCGGCATCCCACATTAACAGCTCCCTTTGGAACAAGTGTCTGTGAGAACTATGAGACCTTCCTGCATCGTGCTGTTTCTTGTAGCCGGAGGGGTACTTGCAGACGCCGGGCGCTATTCTCCAGACTGGACTTCTCTGGACACTCGGCCGTTGCCTACCTGGTACGACGATGCCAAAGTCGGCATCTTCCTACACTGGGGAGTATTCTCGGTCCCCAGCTTTGGAAGCGAGTGGTTCTGGTGGCACTGGCAGCACGACATGAACGTCGCGTACCTGAAATTTATGCTTGAGAACTACAAGCCCGGCTTCACCTATCCGGAGTTCGCGCCCCAATTTACGGCGCAGTTCTTTGACCCGGACCGCTGGGCGGACCTGTTCTACAAGTCTGGAGCTAGGTACGTGGTGTTAACGAGCAAGCATCACGAAGGGTACACGCTGTGGCCATCGAAAGTGTCTTGGAACTGGAATGCTGGGGACGTCGGGCCCAAGAGGGATCTGGTTGGTGACCTTGCAGCGGCCATTCGGAAGAAGGGAGAAAAAGTTCGCTTTGGTCTGTACCATTCGCTTTATGAGTGGTACAACCCGCTTTACCTCGCTGACAAAGCTGCCAAGTGGACAACGAATGACTTTGTCAAGGGAAAGACCATGCCGGAGCTCAGAGAGGTTGTCGAAAGGTAAATGTTGCCTTATTGTATCCCATTGTTTTGTGTGTGTGTGTGTGTGTGTGTGTGTGTGTGTGTGTGTGTGTGTGTGTGTGTGTGTGTGTGTGTGTGTGTGTGTGTGTGTGTGTGTGTGTGTGTGTGTGTGTGTGTGTGTGTGTGTGTGTGTGTGTGTGTGTGTGTGTGTGTGTGTGTGTGTGTGTGTGTGTGTGTGTGTGTGTGTGTGTGTGTGTGTGTGTGTGTGTGTGTGTGTGTGTGTGTGTGTGCGTGCGTGCGTGCGTGCGTGCGTGCGTGCGTGCGTGCGTGCGTGCGTGCGTGCGTGCGTGCGTGCGTGCGTGCGTGCGTGCGTGCGTGCGTGCGTGCGTGCGTGCGTGCGTGCGTGCGTGCGTGCGTGCGTGCGTGCGTGCGTGCGTGCGTGCGTGCGTGCGTGCGTGCGTGCGTGCGTGCGTGCGTGCGTGCGTGCGTGCGTGCGTGCGTGCGTGCGTGCGTGCGTGCGTGCGTGCGTGCGTGCGTGCGTGCGTGCGTGCGTGCGTGCGTGCGTGCGTGCGTGCGTGCGTGCGTGCGTGCGTGCGTGCGTGCGTGCGTGCGTGTGTGCGTGCGTGCGTGTGTGTGTGTGTGTGTGTGTGTGTGTGTGTGTGTGTGTGTGTGTGTGTGTGTGTGTGTGTGTGTGTGTGTGTGTGTGTGTGTGTGTGTGTGTGTGTTTCTTTTCTCTGATCGGTATGAACAGCATTCACTCAAAATATTGAGTATCTTGTTGTGGGCCCCTTTCAGAACGACGAGGTGTAGGAAACATGATGAATTGTCTAAATTTATGAAAACCGATAGGACAAAACGTTTTAAGTATCGGGTCATTCATTGTAAAATAACAGGTATATAGAAAACGGTAATCATTACAGGTTTTCTAATTATAGTAAGTGTCCTTTTACCAAATTCTGTAATTTGGTTAAGATAATTGCTATCTTGGGGCCCTGGTGGAAAGTTAGTTATAACTTATAACGTCTCAGTTACAGAGTTATTCCAATAATACCGTGTGGTCTGTCATAGCAGAAAATACTTGATCGATATAATGTCACTTCTTGCGATATAGTAGAGGTGTACGACAACATTTTGTGTCGGGCTATTCCTGCTTTTTGCAAGAATTGTAAACTGGCATTGCGCTTTTTTTTTGTATGGCATGGACTTAGGACGTCGCTACTTCCCAGTTCCCCCCCCCCCCCCCCCCCCCCCCGGGCTCGTAGAAAAGTATTATCTTCGGATACGATTAAAAAATATGCAGATATTCGTCTGACCGTCTGATATGTGTTAATGTCTAAATGTCTTATCCTCGAAACTTTTTTTTTGCAACGTCCACTAGATGAAGCCGTTTCCAAGAGTTATTTCTTAATTTCTTTGCTTAGTTTACTTCGTTGCGCATAAAAAAATATTTAGACGATCGTATCGATTCATCTCTACAGTTACAAATATCCTAATGCCACGTTAAAAAAAATGCAGGTACAAGCCGGACGTCATCTGGTCCGACGGAGACTGGGAGGCTTCAGACACCTACTGGAACAGTACTGAATTCCTAGCTTGGCTCTACAACGACAGCCCAGTGAGCTCCAGCGTAGTGGTCAATGACCGTTGGGGCGTTGGCATACCCTGCAAACATGGCGACTTCTACAACTGCAAGGACCACTACAACCCAGGAGTACTGCAGAAGCACAAGTGGGAGAATGCCATGACCATCGACAAGGAATCGTGGGGATACCGGAGGAACGCGAAGCTAAGTGACTACCACACCATCGAAGAACTTCTTGAAGAGTTGGCGAGAACCATAAGCTGCAACGGCAACATCCTTATCAACGTAGGGCCCACCAAAGATGGCATCATTGAACCTGTTTTTGAAGAGAGACTGCTTCAGCTGGGCAGATGGCTGGGTGTGAACGGTGAGGCTGTTTACGGTTCAAAACCGTGGAAGTACCAGAATGACACGCTCACGCAGGGAATCTGGTACACAGCCAACAAGGACATGGATGCGGTATACGTATTTGTCCTCAAGTGGCCGAAGGCCAACAAGCTCTCACTAGAAACGCTCGAATTGTCACCTGGAGCAACGATCACCATGTTGGGCTTTGAGGGTGACCAGCTCGAGTGGCATCACAACAAACGTGGGAAGAGTGCCACCAGTTCGAGAAAGCTGACCATCGAGCTTCCATCACTCACCCCGGATCTTCTGCCTACACCGTGGGCTTGGGTGCTCAAGATTCAGGGGGCACTCTAAAGACGACTAAAAGTAACGTCACTCTAGATTTTCTCACGCTAATGAGTCTGAACAATCGTCTTAAATAGTATCGTATCACCTTCCGTATTACGGTGTTTAAGTCTTGAAGAGTATATTAAAGCTATGATTGGGGGATCAAACAGAAATGACCCTAGCCTGTGTGAGAGACTTCATGAAGGGAAAAGTTTCGGTCTTGCTGGTTGCTGCTGTTGCCGCCCTTGAGTCCCGGTAGACCCTTGTTGTCGTTGCTTCTGAACGTTTGTTGGCACTTACCAGAGAGGGAATTGGCGAAGAATCTGTATGGTTCGTGGACCTTTCTTCAGTCCGTTAGGAAACTTTGTTTTCTTCTTAGAGTGGTGTACAAACGTCAAAGAAGTATACGTTTATTCAAATATGCTTACGAAATAAAGTATCTAAATAAATTTCTTGCTCAGTTATCTAATACAAGAGAACTTAATGTCAATAAATATTTCAAGAGATTAAATAGTAATTTAGTTTACTTGCAAATTTAAGTTAATTTACTTGCTTGTCCGGTCAGCGTTCATGTAAAACTCCTGCAGTCTTGTACACGTTACTAAAAAAGAGTAATCGATTACAATTACTATTACTCTTGGCTAAAATGTATTCGATTAGATTACTTGATTACTCGACGGCAAAAGTAAATGGACATTACTTAAAGAAGTAATCGTTACCTTTCCGATTACTTTGTTGTGTGAAGACACATCTTTAGCGCTCATAACAATGAACTACTTCCATCCTATATTTCACATTTGCACAAGCATTGAAGAAGAAAAACTGGCTCCTTCTTCGTGGTCGTTGCACCTTCACAATGTGGACACAAGCATAGAATTTGTTTGAAGACGTTTAATGATTTGGCCGTTCGCCAGTGTGTGTGTGTGTGTGTGGGGGGGGGGGGGGGGGGGGGGCGAGCAGAGGGGGTTCTAGATCTTGTTAAGTTTGAGCAAGGGTTGTCGCTCAAAGTTTGCGTCGCTCATTTTATTATTCACATGTGGATGAGCTCGCATGTTATACAAAAGAGCAGCAGCTCCAGAATTTGGAACGGATCATGTGTAGTATCCATTAGCGGAAGAGATCGCCCCGACCACTTCTCAACTCGAAACATTGCTTGTCACAAAGACCACGTAGGAAAAATGGGAAAATATTTCAACTGCCTTTGTTATATTTTGAATCCGCTTTAGGCATTCTTCGGTTCTGGTTCTCCTACGGGCTGCGAGTAGGTACTAGGTACCCTAAGCAGGATTTTTTTTTTATTTCTGTGCGTGTGTGCATGAGGGGGCTAGTCTGAACGAAGGACTCAAAAAGCTACATTCTGCTTCCTCAAACTTCGCCCTGAATGGCCTTTGCCACGCACTGCGGCTTCCCTGGGGCTTCCAACTCCCAGTCCCAGCTCGAAAAAAAAAAAAAAAGGACATTTCACAGAAACTGTACATAGAAAAAGATTGACCTCGTTTCTTACAGCTTCGCAAAAATCTTTCTTTTTTTTTTTTTCGTTCGAAAAAAAAAATAAACAGATTTTATTTTTGTTATTTCATAAAAAAAGGCGTGTGCCGAAGGGGGGTGTCCCGTGGTCAAATTGTAACGGTTTCCTGTTTAATCACTGAGGACAGGAATTCCAGCCGACCGCTGAGGCAGCACTCTTATGGCACTCTCTCGTTACAGGGTTGCTTTACCGGAAACTGCTGTAGAAGCCAGCTACGTAACACATTCTGTGTTAAAAAGTGGCATTTGCACTACGCTCCTTGGAAACAGGTCTAACTTCGGTGTAATTTAAAAATATTGTGGACGAGCGCGCTGGCCCAGCGCAGCCCGGAGCACATGGGAAAATATTTGATCGTGGGGCATGATCATTCAGGACGTATAATTTACACTGCTTTTTAAACGAATTGGTCGACCAATATGGGCAGCCGATTGGCCCGTAGCAGCGCTGAAATTCCTGGCAGTTCGAAGGTATTGTATTCTTTATTTGGGAAAGTATTAATTGTGCACATGCAAGCTCTAGGGCGTGTTCGCTGGAGGTCATTGCTGTGTGCGCGACTGCTGACCTCTCGCTGACGGAGAGCTTCCACAGTTCTTCTGCAACGTGCCTTTCGCACTACCAAGACTGCCGGTCTTATCAATCCATTAATCTGAGCTCCTTATGAGCATGCGCTCTAAACATCGCCCTCAAATATGGCGTCAGTTGAAATACCCCCTGTAGGATCACGCACGACACAATCTGCTTTCAAATTCTATAGTCTGTCAAGTTTTCCCTTCCAGGCGGTGTTTTAAGTTCTTCCAACGGTTAATGTCGTCGTTACTTAGATTAGTACCGAAAAATAGACACATTTCTTCAAAGTGGCGAAGAGGATCGCCTCGGGAGAAGGAGAAAAGAGTCTCGGAGCTCCGGAAGGAGTGGTAAATCTCGTGAAAGAGGCGAAGGCACGCTATCTTGCGGCGGACGTTTAGTAATGGGAGGTTCAGTTCGTTCTTGAGGGCGGATACACTAATTGACCAATCGTGGAAGCGGCCAAACTAGCTCGTAGACAGCGCGATAAAGTGCACAATGGCAAAGTCAGAGCCCATATTTGGCTTAAGCAAAACGAATACTGAAGTTTTCTTTACCTCCGTGTCTTCAGACTTTTGCTCTTCCAGAGACCCGCCCACCTTGAACAGTACCAATAGCACCTGAGAGGACAATTCCTGTGCATTACATCATAACTAGGGCACCCCCCCCCCCCCCCCCCCTTTAAAACACGCTGAAACTCTACGAAGTACGCCGCAATCTGGCAGATGTGTGCGTCTTGGCTCTTGGCGTCGCCGCGTCGCATGCTCGGTGAGACACTGCAATAGAGTAGACAGTTGGGCGAGTTGGTAGATATTGAACATAATTACAGTTGCGCACACAAGGACAAGGACAGAGAAGAGGAATTGTCTGTCGTCCACGTGTTTCTCTTCTCTGTCCTTGTCCTTGTGTGCGCAACTGTAACTATGCTTGAGACACTGCAACACACGCTGGCGGCGACGCTGGCGCGGGCTTGATGGTGCTGCGCGGGGATGTTGGGGGACACGTACCAGATTGCTTATAAAACCCATCATATCTTTTCACTGGCAAGTACACAGTTTTATCTAAACAATAAATTGCGACAGTCGGTGTTGTATCATACTCAACTTAATAGTATTATTTCTCAATTTGCGCTTGTAAACGAGCTAACTACTTCGATTATGAGCCTACCCACAAAGATCTTTGCATTCAAACGCGCGCCTTCTGTGTCCTATTCACAATAAACGTGCCCCCCTCTGGTCATCGTTTTGGTTGTCGGCCAAGGGCCGGCAGAGAGAACCGGGCGCTACGCAATGTTCGGGTTCATTCTATGAGCCGCAATAAAATATCGTCAGTGGGGGGCACAGCGACCTCCAAAACGTCACTGAGTTTTGCAAAGGAGAGACTAAAGAGAAGACGCTCGGTTTTATTTTTTTTTTTTTTAATTTATCAGCAACAAAGAGGTTTCTTGGTCACTGGCGCTACGTGCGCGTATACTTGGGTCCCACTATTGCCAATAAGCTCGTATAAAGTAAACAAGAAAAAAACACACAAAAAGATACCAACTGAATATCGTTGCACCGCCCCTTTAAATGGCGATTTCAGCAAGGGTTCGGCCCTGTGATCATGACTTAAAGAATAATATTGTTAGGAAGCGTAGAAAACCGAAACAAACAGTACACTTTCCACTGAGAAAGCGCGTCCTCTAAGGGCGACGAGAGTAATCAATAATTTATTTTCCGTAATGTTGTTGTTGTTAGAACGTTCATGTGCAAACTCAATGATTGCTGCATGCACGTACGACCCTGCGCGCTCGGATAGATTACACGCATATTTTATTCATCTCAGTTTGCAAGAGGAAACGTCCGAAGCACGGCTCTAAAAGGCTTGCACAAAAGCATAACATTCGAGCTCGTTAAGAAAACCGTTGTTTACATTGGAAACTTTGTAAATTCCGCAGCATGCTCCTTTACGCATTGAATTGCGAATAAACGGCACTCAAAGCCTGTTTTTTTTTTTTTTTTTTTTTTGGGGGGGGGGGGGGGGTTTCCAAGTCATGCACAATTTTTAGTTTATTGATTAGGACAGAGAAATCCGCAATTAAGAAAACACAAAACGAAAATCTCCAAGGAATCCCAGGACTAAAATACCGCCTGCGGAATAACGCTATCTCACAATAAAAAAACAACAAAAAATCATTAAAAAAAAAAAAAAAAAAAACAGCACGATTGCGTCAGGAATGCGCGACGAACTCGTCCTTGCGCCTGCTTGTTTATTTTGCAACCCTAAACAAAGTGCAAAACAAATCGCAACGTTCGCCGTGCTAGCTTCCAGCATTCGCCACGCTGCACGCAAGGACTATAAATGACCACCCTTCAGCTCGCACCATTCGTGACGTCAGCATCGACGTCACCGATGACGTCAATTGTGGCTTCGCCCCTACAATTTCGAACAGCGAAGTCCAAGCCACCCCTGGAAGCCTTCGGAATATATTCTCAGAAAAGGTCAAGGATTCTTCTAGAGATTGCTTCTGCCAGGCGGCCGGCTTGCCTGCAGGACGAACGATGGACGGTCATCGGCTTGAGGCGCTTCGGTATATTGGACGTCAGGGGTGTATCTCGCCCATCACGTCGACCTGCCTTGTCTAGCTCCAGTACGTCGAGGAGATTGTGATCTCACCGAGCATGCACGCAGAGGTCCTCGTTCAGGCAGAAGCGTCGGAACCATTTGGGAGATGGGGGAGAGCAAGTTTTCCCCCCTCCTTCGTATTGTTTACATTATTTTTTTTTTTAAATATCTGCCCCCCTTCCCCGTTCCGACGCCACGCTTTGTATTGTAGATGATGACACCTTATCTTTGCCTTAACCTGCCTTGTGGCGCCTTCCACACACCTTTCCGGCGCGTATCACCCAGGCGAGCAATGTCGAGTACCTGAACTGTGCAGGCATGCGCGACGTCGTCCGCTATTTCGCAGGGGAGAGCTACTGCGTACGAGCGTCCCACAATCCCGTGGACTAAGATGGCAGCACGCCTAAGACGATTATTGGGACGGTCTATATATAGTTCCTGGCAGCTTATTAAGAAACGCGGGGCGTGACTCAATATGTTAATTTATGCTACTCGCTTCACGATCCGTCCTTCGGCTTTCTGCTAATGCCACGATCTTACTGACTGCGAAGAGATAATAAAACGCACAGGACCCCCCAGACCCTGCGTTCCATTTCTTCGAAGACAGCAGATCTGCCAATACATTAGCATTTGCGTCTCTTTAGATAGTGGTGGCCAGATGAGTGTTATTTGTGGAAGGAACCCACAACCAGTGGCGATGCACCTACGAAATTGTCAAGCAGAAGTGCTGCCTGTGTTATTGCATTCAGAACG